AATTTAACTGTTTGTAAACCACCAACTTCTCATCTCACATTAAATTCAATCATCAGCATAACTACTAATTATTATTTTAGATTCTGAGTGGAGCGAGGAATGTATTGATTTTACCATGATGTGTGTGTGTATTTTTATTTTATTATTATTTTTTTTTTTTGTATCTGTTATCAAGTTTTGGGACAGTAAAAATGCTTCAATTTTCGACTTCAGTACTTTGTTAGATCAGTAAGTGAATCTAGTTGGTACTTTGGGGGTGGGGGGAGGGTATTTTTCTAAATGATCGGGATAAAAAAACTATAAATTAAGGAAAAAACGGTAATTTTTACTTACAATCAGTTTCGAAAAAATCGATTTTGGTTTTTGATGTAACTCTAAAAAAAAATTACCATAGGTATATGAAATTTTCGCCAAATGTTTATATAAGTATACCTATTCTATCCACCATACGATTTTAAATACCATACGATTTTAAATAATTTCGACTTAAGTTGAACTATTTATAGGTATATGCAATTTTCAATCATTATTAGTTTTTTTTTAAATTAATATCGATAAAAATTTATTTGTTTGGTAGAAAAGCTTGAAAATGTAATACAAGGCTCTTAACATATTGTTACAATAGCAGTTGAAAAATAAAAGTAATACATAGTCACAATATTTTTTATAAGCATTCAAAGTTCAAATTTTGACAAAATACGTAAAAATCACGAAAATTTGCAAATTATTTTAAATACTAGAAAATCATAAAACATTTTCTTTTTAAGTCTAACATTTGAAAATTTTTAATAATCTATAATATATCCTAAAAAGATAAACCGTCTCCGTTCAGAATCGTTTTTCGTATACAATGATACCTATCATTGCATTCAAATTTAGCTTACCCTAGTCAGAGGTCCACCCCACCCCCAATGTACAGCAGAGCGATACCCACTTACCCGTTTTTTTTTTTACATAATATATTTGTATTAAATATTTATATAACTGTACAAGATATAATAATATTCAATTCATATTTCAATAATTTTCTTTTGCGTCATGTTCATTGAGTGATTTTCAAATTTTTTTGTCAGTAAAAATATATATAATAGTTTATATGTGCACATGTACAGCTTTGCTGTACAGTAAAGTGGTCGACTGTATTGCATGTGATAAATTCAAATTCAATGGTATAAAATTATTGTATACGAAAAACGATTATAAGCTAAATCGGTCTGTCAGCCTACAGCATTAATAAGTATATTTTATGATATATTATTGTTATTTATTTTACTATATTAGAATAACAGTAAGTAGAATTCATTTTTGGCAAACAATTACATTTGAAAATGTCATTGTATATTATAATATGTTGTAATAATGATATACTTTAGAAGTTACCCATTTACGAATTATACTTTTAAATTACAAAAAAAAAAACTAAAATCGTTATTCTTTGATTAAATATCTTTGTATTTATATATATTTTTATATTTTTGTTTGATGATGGTACTTATGAGAAATCTTATTTTAAATTGAAAACTTTAGCTAGGTATATACTTTGAACATTTTATACATTTTTAATCACAGAATGATTATAAACTTCCGTAATTTTGACGGATCATGTCTTAATTTGAACTTCAAAGGATTATAAAAAATCTCACTTACATATTTTCGGTATTTATTTTCTGAAATCATATAAAAACTTAAAAAGAATCATGTATTAAATTTTAATATGTTTTGACTGCTTATAGACATTTTAATTTATTAGCAAGTAAAATTTAAAGAATCTAAAATCTAAAATGTCTATAGTAAATAGCTCTAGAAAAGTAAAATGATTTTTTAAATTTTAATATTTTATCATTCACATGATATATTGAAATAGTGAAACCTCCCCAAATGGACTTCTTCAAATAGCGGTTTATTKAAGACAAACTACATACTTTTTACAAACTAAACCCTCTTAATAGCGGACAATGTTTCAATGTTCAAGATTATCTAGTATTTAGAAGTTAAACTGTGTAAACATTTGATAAAAATGTCAAATATCAACAATAAATATAAAATAGATTTCATCAAAAACTGAGTTTGCGTATAAATTCCRGTTTCTCATTCCCCTCTGATTGTTTCTGAATACTAGAAAATTATTGGGACTTTTT